AGAACGTTACTTAAAATTTTACGAAGGAAATGCAATTGGTCCAGTGTATGATGGATATCAACCAAATAGTGAGTCCGGTGCACATATAATAAAGATAAAGTACAATAATACATATGCGTATATTTATTATAATGGAGGTTGTTATTTTGATGACAATAACAGTAAAGTAGAAGGTACTTATTTTGCGTTGTATGAAGATGGCAAACCATGTGGATATACTAGAAGATATGGAAAAGGCAAAATTCTCATCACGGGATTTCATTTTGAGTTTGATGAACATTGTTGTTCTCATTTGTTAAGTCAATTAAGTTATGACGATTTTGAATTAAGAAGAGAAAGTCTTATTAGATACATTTTATCATTAATGAGTGATTGTTAACAAAGGGATATTGATTGTTTTGTACAGAAGAGAATAGACAACAAGATGAAGAGAATCATTTGAAGTTAAAGTGAGATATGTTCAATAACATAATTAAGAAATGTACTAAGAAAACGAATAAAGTCAAAATGGAATTTAATAACACATAGAATATGAGTTAGTAAAACAATAAAGACAAAATAAATCAATGGAGAATAACGAGGAGATTTAAAGAAAAAACAAACCAGTGTTATGATGTACAAATAATCATAACATAATACAAACATACTTGATTTGCTTAAATAGAAAGTATTGTTTTTTTGATTCATCATTTTTTCTTTTAACAAATTTGTTTTTTATTTTTGTTATTATAAAAATAAGTCAATTAAAAATAGAATAATTGATAATTTCATATTTATATCATATCAATTCCTTATAAATATCATGTTATAATTAATTGTTAAATTGTTAGAATAATAAGGAGATAGTACATTTAATTTATTAATTCAAATTCAGATTAGTGTTTGATTATTTTTATTTTGTTACTTTGAAGATAAACATGATATTCTTTCAGTGAATGAAAAATCCTAAATTAATCAAAATTATATGTGTTATGAATATTATAATAATAAATAGTAGTCATAGTACATATGAACAGATAAAATAAATATAGAATAATGAATATAAAGACAAGAGAAATATAAAAGACAATAAAGAAATAATTATGAAGATAAAATGAAAGAAAATTCACAATTGAAAATGAAACTACAAAGATATAACAAAATTCACAACAATTATATTTAAACAATAAATATGAAATAAATTAATGCCAATAAGAATTATTCATTTAATTCAATACATTAATTACAATATATCAAATACAAAAAGAAGAAATAATAAAGAATAGAAAATGACAAAATAAAATACATGAATTGCAGAATAAAATAACAATTCAATGTAATATTTGAAAAAGAAATAAAGAATAAAATAGAAAAGATGATAAATGAATAAACAGAAGAAATGATAGAAAATAACAATAATATAAGAATAAAGAAGAATAACAATAACAAATAACGAATTTCAATAATTTATATAAATGAATAAAATAAAGAATAACATCAAAATAAAGAAAGAATAAAAAAAGAATAATGAAATATATAAATAATATACAATAATACACGAAATTGCATTTATTACATTTTATAACAAATAGGTATAAAATGATAATAATTAAATGAAATAAATTTAATTCAATCAAATTACAACATAATAATTACAAATATGAAATGAGAGAAATAAGAAATAAATAATAAAATATAGAATAAATAGAAATAAATTAGATGAAATAATATGTTTAGAAACAAACAAAACATAAAATAATAATAAAGAATAAAACAAACAAAATGTAAAGTTGTAATAAATAATAGAAATGTCATTATTTCATGAATAACAAATAGAAAATGAATAAAAGAAGAAATATACAGATATATTCAAATATAATGTAATATTTAATTCAATTAATACAAATTTAAAAACAAATAAATAGAACTAAAATAAACAAAGAGAAGTAATAAAAACAATATTTAATTTACAATCAAATAAGTGTGAATTGAATAATGAATTAATTAGTTGAGTATATTTTATGTAATTTATCAAATAAGCATTCATATAGAATGAATTTAGATGAATGAAAGTGGTTAATTCAATAAATTTATTTATTTTTAACAATAGTTAAATGAAATGTTAGTTTATAATATTTCATTGGAAGGTATCATTTAACCATTTGATAAATAAAAACAATAAATGATTAGTGAAAATATTATACAATTTAAAATAACAATGATTTGAAGAATAAGTGATTGTAAAAGTTCAATGGTAATTTTATTTTGAAGAAGAATATAATTAATATAAATGATAATCTAAAATAATCAACAAAAGAAACAATATTACATAAATGAAAAGATGATAGAAATGATTGAATTATAATTGAATAATTTCAATGAATAAAAAACAGAAGAAATAAAAACAGAAGAGAGAAAGATGTTATTTTATTAATTCATACAATAATTTCATATTTTCAATAGAATTAAATAAATTATAGAATGGTATTTGAAATATTGAAAAGAAAATGGTATTTCAACATTGTTGTATTAAATGGAAAAGTGTTATATTTATAACAACATGAAATAATAGAAAATAAAGATGAATGAAATAATACTAATAAACAATAAAATGGAAGAATTGGAAATGATGAATGAAGTATTATTTAAATTCACATAATTGAATATTGTTATAATTATTCAAAAATAATAAAATGAAAATCAGAACCTATAAAATATGACGAAAATATCATTTATGTGAAATAAATGAGATTTTGATGAAGAATAAATTAATATTGTATCAAGGAATGATGAAATAAATAAGAAATAAAGAGATTTAATTTAATTCAGAAATAATTAAATAAATTTATTTTATTTCATTTTATTAATGAATAAAACATCAATTTGATTCTATTTTTTATCAATAATATTTAATTACAAATGAAATTTCAAGTACAATAATAAAATGATATAATTTGACATATTCATTGATTTATAAAATAAATAATGATAATTTGAAATATTTTATGAGAAAAAAAAAATAATTGTAATTTTATATCATTTTATTGTTTTTATAAATAGTCTGATTATTTTCATAATTCACAAAATGAGACCAGATGAAAAATATTATGGAAATAAATGATTTTATTTTAATTGAATTTAATTGTATAATGTGAATCAAGAAATGAACAAAGAATAAATGCAAATAGAAATAAAATACAATGTAATTAAAACAAGAATAAATGATTGAAAAGTTGCCATTTCATTTAAATGTATTTAAATGAAGAAAGAACAGTTTTATGTTATTAACAATTATAAACAATAATGAAAGTCATTTGTTTTTGTAAAGTAATTTTCATTTCATATTTTACATAATGAATGAAACACTATAACTTGTACAGTTTCTTTTCTTCTTCCCTCATTGTAAAATAACAAACATCATTTTGTGTATGTTTATAAAGTATTTGAAAAATAAATAAAAGATAAAACATGAAATGAACAAAGAATAAAACAAGAAAATTTAAATATATTTGTTTATACACACAATTTAAAGTTTATTAAGCAATTTTAATATTAAAAGAATAATTAAAATAAGTTATAAATTAAATTCAAACATAAAGAAGGTAATTAATTCATAAATGTTGTTGATATTCATTTTTAGTAGAATATGAATAAAATGATAAAATACTAAAGACAAAGTTAATTGTACAGAGGTATGATATTAAAATGAGTTATATCAACAATAATTTTAATGCAGAATGAGTTTCTGATAATATTCAACAAAATGTTAAAGTTATATCTAATATACTTCAATTAAAATACTTTTGAAATGTGTGTAATATGAATAAAATAATATAACCATAACACAAAATCAATAGTTAGAAAAAGAAGAAAATTGTAAAAGATAAAATCAAAAAGAGTTGAATAAATTTATTAAATAAATAAAAACAATGATATTCAATGTATTTTATCCATTCACAACAAAATGAAAAAAGATAATAAGAGAAATACAAGAGAAAAAAAATAAAAAAAAAGTGAATACGATTAGAATCAAATGGTGATTTTAATGAAACATTGTGAGTATTTTAGAATTAATATTTCTTTCATAGTTACTCTTTTGAGAAATGTATTTCTTTTTATATTCAATAATCTCTATTTTGTTATTGTCAATTTCTTATCGTTGAATATTTTATTTACACTTCTGATATATTTTCAAAATTTCTTTCGTTTAACCAACATTTGATTTACTTATTTAATATTAATCAATTTCAATGATGAAATGTATAATTATTTTCTTTTATTTGTTATTTTCCGTTTATTTTCATTGATTTTATTAAAATATTTATGTTGACAAAATGAATGAAATGATTCATATAATTATTATGATGATCAGTGTATCTCTGTCAATACAAATACTACATATTTCACGTATTCGTCTATCATTTATATATTTATTTATTGATATGAAATTCTCTTTTGTTATTATGTTTAATGTTTTTGTGATTTTTTCCTTTTTTAGTCAACAGAAAATAAATGAAATTGAAAAGAATTGAAATAAAAATGACAATATTTTTATACATCACAACCATTACCCCTTCAATGTTATTATAATTTCAGAACAATAATGTTTGAAATGATGAAACAATAAAAGAAGAATAACGATAAAATTAAAAGAAAAAGTGTGAGAGAAGTTGGAATGAAATAGGAAATGATTCGATTGATTTTATCTATTTTTAATTTAAAGAAATTCAAGTCAACAAAAATGATAAAAAGGAATGAATAAGAAGTGATTGTCATTGTAAAATTACATTGAAGAAAAGATTATTGTAATTTTATTTTTATGAATATGCAATTGACGATAAAAATATAAAGAAATAAATAAAAATAAAATGAAATAAAATGTTAAAAACGGTGTTTAGTATCAAAACAAATGATGTTTATGAGAAATAACCAATCAGAAAAGAAGTAACACATCTAAACAAATAACATATTTTGCCGAATGATATTTATTTAAACAAGAAAACAAACTCATTAATCATTCAATGTCAAGAGTAATAGTAAGATTTCTTTTGAATGGACAATGCATTGCGACTAAACCACTAAATTCACAAGACAAATTGAAAACAGTAAGAGAGAAAATCAAAGAAAAGATGTCTGATTCTCAATACTTTTTAACAAGAGATGGAGATATAATTGATGTGAACGATGAAGAGGATTTTATAGTAGAAGATGTAATTGATGAGAAAAGAATAATAAATATTAAAAGAACAGAAGATAAAAAAGGAATAAGAATAAAGATAAATGATAAAGTAATTACCACTATTGAAATAGACAATAAAACACCATTAAGTGATGTTAGAAAAATAGTTCAAAACATTCCAGAATCAGCATATTTCTATACACCTGACGATGATAGAGTTGAAAGAGATAATGAAGAAGAATATATAGTCGAAGATATAATAAATAATGAAGAAATTAATCTTAAAGAAGAGAAAGAAAAAAGTACACCAGAAATAAATGATATAACTATTGGAATATGTTTGAATGGGAAACCACTGATAAAAAAACAATTCAACAAGAACATTTCTCTTTCAGATGTTAGAAAAGAAATTGAAAATGTAAAACAAATTCCAAAAGACTTTGTGTTTGAAGATCTAGAAGGATTTAAAATACCAAGTGATGATGAACAAACATTAAAACTAACATCTATATTACATGATAATAAAATCAATATAACAACAGAATTAGATGAAACTTCTCCTAATAATGAAGAAATTAATCTTAAAGAAGAAAAAGAAAATATACCAGAAGTTGAATCAAATGTTCCAATTGAAGGAAGTATAAGATTGGAAAGTCATGAAAATGGAAAGTTGAAAATATATTTATATCCAAATCAAGAATTTAATCAAATAGATGAGAGTGATGCTATTGCTATTCTAGTTGTTGGTCAAACAGGAAGTGGAAAAACTACATTATTGAATAGTTTTGTAAATGCAATATATGGAATTAAAATAACAGACGACTTTAGATATATAATTATAAATGAAGATAATTTAAAACAGTATGGAGATAAGTCTGTAAGTCAAACAAGTCAAGTTTCAATTTATAATATTAAAAGAACAAAAAGAACACCACCAATCAAAATAATAGATACACCAGGATTTGGAGATACAAGAGGAATTGAGTGGGATCAAAAAATTACTAAACAAATAAAAGAGGCATTTGAAAATAAAGTATCAGATTTAAATGCTATTTGTTTTGTTGCACAATCAAGTAATGTAAAACTAACAGTAAGTCAAAAGTATATATTTGGGAATATTATCAACTTATTTGGGAAAGATGTTAAAAAGAATTTTGTTGCAATGCTTACATTCTGTGATGGTGAAAAACCACAAGTTATAAATGCATTACAATCAAAAGATTGCATTTTCAGTACAATTATTCCAGAAATAGATGAACCATGGTATTTAAAATTTAATAATTCAGCTATTTATAGTGATAATACAGAAGATGAATTTACACAAATGTTTTGGAAATTAGGAATGAAGAATTTTGATGATTTTATAACAAAGTTAGTAAAACTACCAAGAATATCATTAGAACAATCTAGAGAAGTATTGAAGAGAAGAGAACAAATAAAAGCACAACTCGATGCAATAAAAATATCATTAAACATTGGTTTCTCAAAAATGAATGAGATAAACCAGATATGTAAACAGTTATATTTGAATCGAGAAAAAGTTAAAAATAATGAAAATTTTACTATTACTACAACTGAAACAGTAAAAAAGAGGGTTGACTTAAAAAAAGGAGAAGTAGTAATTAAATGTTATCAATGTAATAACATATGTCATGATCCATGTCATTGCCCACATGGTATTAAAGATGGAGAAGAGGTCGTTTATTGTTATATCGATCAGACTGAAGATAAAAATTGTGTTGTTTGTGGTCATTATTATACACATCATAAATACAGTACATATAGATACGTATATGAAACAGTGAAAAAACAAGAAACAGCAAAAGATATACTTGACAGATATAATGCAGGTAAAAAAGGTGTTGCTGATGCAGAAAGTATATTAAAAAAGTTAGAAGAAGAGTATTATAATATTCAAATGGATTGTCGTGATAAACAACAAGAACTTGTCGAATGCGTTAATAAATTATCTGAAATTGCATTAAATGGTAAAGTTACTAGTTCAAGTGAATATTTAGACATGATGATTCAAACAGAAAATGATGAAAAGAAACCAGGATATAAAGAACGAATTGAAGGATATAAACAACTTAAACAAGCAAATGAAATGATAGAAGATATTATGAAAAACTCAACAACAAAAAAGAGTAAGGAAGAAATTAAGGCAGAGGTTAAAAGAAGAATGAAAGAGTTGAAAGAAGGAGAAAAAACAACAACGGATAAACTCTTTGAAAAATTGAGAAAGGAGTTTTCCAAATAAACAAAAGAAATGAAAGTTTTAATTAACTGGTTTTTAAAAATATTTTTTAATAAGGAATAAAATTGATAAATAATATTCATTATTCACCATTGATAATACTAAACTATTTTGTTGTCAATCAAATTCATTCAATATGTTTGAAGTAATTGAATAAATAAATCAAATCAACTGTTTTGTTGTTAAATCCATTGTTTTAATATCACTAATAATGTCATTTTCAAAAGTTACACCATTTAATTAACTCTACTTTTGATTGATTTCTTTTCTTTTTATTTGTATTGTAAATATCATTTTTTCTTTATTTTTAGTTTCTCGTTATTTCTTCAATTTATTTTGTTTATAACTATAAATCAAGTTATTTGTTACTTTTTTCTGACTTTATTCTTTTTCTCTATATTTCTTAGTAATTTTGTTAATTTCTTTATTTTATTCATTCTTATAAACTTTCTATTTCTTCTTTCTATCATGTCTTTTATATTTATATTTTTATTTCATTTCTTTATTCTATGTTATTCTTTCATTACATTATTTGAATTTTTGTATTTCTTTCATTCATCAATGAATAACATAGAAATTAAAATGAAACATATTAAAAATAGCTGTAAAAGAAATAAATTTGAAATTGTCTTTCAATGTGATGAATCAACAATGAAAATGATGTTTTAATGAATGTGTGAGACAAAATAGCAATTCAAATTATTCTCTTATTATTTTGTTGATAATTCATTATGTTAATTGATTGTTTCACAAATAAATAATTCAAAAAGAAGAATTTCATCGAAACAATCATCAAAAGATGAGATATTTCATTTCTATGTGTTTTTATTGTATATTGAAATACATATTGAAATAAAATACTACAAAAACATTTGAATAATCATGACTGAGAAGAAATGTATAAAATAATATGTTTAGAACGTGATTTGAAATAATACGTTAATTATTGAAATATATAAGATTGAATATATTGAATGAGATTATGAAAATAATGAATGAGAAATTGATGAAGATAGAAATAAATTAATGAAGAAATGGATAAAAAGACATCTTACAATTCATGGGTATTGATTTAACAAATACTTTTCTCAAAAATATACACAAATTCAATCAGAATCAATAAATAATGTTTCATTCTCATTCTTCTTAAATAAATTACTTCAAAATAAAACAATACTTGACAAATTAATTATAATATTGTCAATTTAAATTATATGTTAAACGACATTTATAAAGATATATGAATATTTATTTATATTTAATTTTAATATTTTGTGTAATACATAAATCAAATATAACAAAGAAGATATATAAAATCAAGTAATGTGCTTGTTATAATATTTATTTTTAGAATAAATACCAAATAAAAATGATGTGATTTAACAACATCAATAATACTAATTTTACAAATGTTCTGTTAAAATAAATTGAATTAATTTAATTTAAACAATGAAGAAGTGTTGTTAAAGATATTTTTATTCAATACTTAACAATAAAACAACAAATTAAGATTAATTGTGATAATTTCATTCCATCTTTCAGTTTCGTATATTTTATTTCAATATATTATAACAATCTTCTTTGAACAATGATAAAATAAGTGTTAGAATATTCATATGAAATAAAAATAAAGAATAAAATAGAAATGAATATTCAAAAATGATATTGAAAATGATAAATTAATACAAATCAAAAAGAAAATAATCATTGTTTTGATTATTATGAATAATTAAAATAAGTTATTCCATGTTAAAACCAAGAATAATGTTCAGTGAAACATTGATAAATTGAAATAAACACAAAATTCAAATACAATCAAATTATTTTATGTTTTGACAATGATGAATAAATGAATAGATATTATTCATTTAGAATATGAAGTTATAGATGAATAATAGAAATGTCAATTAATTTATTGATATTTATTTGTTTTATAAATACATAAAAATTTAAAACAAATTTCATCAACAAGTTCCACTTCAACAATTTATAATTTCATTAATAATAGAAACGATGAATAACAATAAAGAATCAATATAAATATAATCATATTCTTTATTTTCATAATACTAAATAACACTTTTAGTCAATTATAATGATAACAATAAATATGAAATAAAACAATGATAAATTGATAAAATAAAAAGAATAATAATTTTATTTGATTTTCATTTATTTTATTATTCATTTAAATATATGTTATTTCATTTTTTATTTCATTTCTTATTATTTTCATTTATTTACAAGATGTATTTGTATCATTTTGGCATAATTATGATTTATATTTATTTATCATATTTTGTTCAACATAAAAATAAAATACTAAATAACAATAGAATAACTTCATAAATAATACACAATAAAATTGTATATTAAATGATGAAATTAATAAACGTTTCAAAGAATGAATAAATACATGATATGAAAGAGAGAAAAAGAAAAAAAATAAAGATAAAAAAGATAAGAAATAAATGACGATTATTAGAGTGAATAAATAATAAATAATAAAAGAAGAAATGAATGAATTTTAGAGGAAAGGATATGATTAACTATTTTAATTCATTTCATTTTTTTTATTTCAATACCAATACACAATAAAAACATAATACAAACAATAAGAAATAATAAATAATTAAAGAAAAGAAACAAACAATAAAAATAAGAGAAAAAAGAGTTAAAAATGATGCAATAAAAAAATAAATTGATGATAATAATTTATTTTCATTAACTCTATTTTACAACAATATTTCCACTTAATTGTACAATTGAAGAAGCATAATGATGGTAATATAAAATAGGAAGAAATAAGCAAGAGAAACTTAAGAGACACTATCAAACAGATAGAGGAGATGAATAAAGAAATATAAAAAGAAAATAAAAACATGTAATTAGGAAATTAAACAAACTAAAGTGAAAGGATAATAATGAAAAGCATCTGATGAGATGACCATTTCTAAGAGTAGAATCTAAATAGAAAAGTAATATGAAATAAAAGGGACATTCAAATGATTAATGTGGTGATCAAATGAATGAAGAAATTAAAAGTAGTTTGAAGTTGTTTTTTGTATTTATTACTTAAGGAAACATTAAGAAACCTTCATGATATACCACAGAGAAATATCATGAACAACTATCCAAATAAATTATTACCTCGAGTTCATGATCCGAGTGTATGGAATTCACATAATCGAATCATGTTAGAATGAAAAGGGATATAATTTGAAAAGGAAGTTGAAGAAAGTAATAAAGAAAATAAACAACTCATAGAAGATAAATCTGTTAATATAAAAAACAAGAAAAGAGAATAACAACAGTAGAAGATAAAGAATAGAAATAAATATAATAATGAAAGAATAAATATAATGAAATATATTAATAAAGTGAAAATGAATGAAATAATCAATAAATCAAATACAATGATAATGAGGTGATTAGAAAATAAGAAATAAAATAACAAGAAATGAATATATAATAATAAATTATGTCGTAAATAAGAATGAACAAATTAAATATGAAATAAATGATAAATGAAATGATGAGAATAGCCAAAATAAAATATAAAATAATTATAATGAATTAATGAATAACAAAACAAGAAAGAATAAACTGAAAATAAACAACAATACAAATGAAAATGATAAAAACAAAAGAAGAATTGAAAATAAAGAAATAATTAATGCATTTAAACAAGAAAGAATCATAAAATTGAATTACCATTTCATAAAATAACAAACATTAATATAGAAGATCAAATGGATTGAATAAATGATAAATGATAATTGTAAATGATAAAAAGATAAAATTGATATTGATAAATAAAATAGAAATTGATAAAATAATTCAAATCAATAAATTAATAGAATGAAATAAAAGTAATGACAATAAACGTATTATTCAATAGAAAAACAGTAAAAGTGCTGAAATAACAAAACATTATATTTGTAATTATAAATAATAGTAAAAGATGTAATGAATAATAACAACGAAAGACTTAATGGAATAATAAGGAAATTAATATAAAATATAAATATGTTGAATAATTAAGAATGAGAATGAATGAAATAACATCAAATAAAGAAGATGAAATAGAATAATAAGTATTTTGTAATTTTTTATTATTCTTTCTCCTTTTCTTTTTTTTGGGATATTATTGTTTGCATTTTCTTATTTGTTCTTCATTTTTTGGTTTTTCACATCTCATAACACTTTTTAATTAATGTTCACATGTGTTTGTCAAATGCACTAAATAAAACCTTAAAACAAACATGATTTTGAGTTGCTAACATAGTCTATTCATGAAGTTTCCTTTGATGAGATAACTCATTGTTAAATATTTGTGTGGATGTTTATTATTTGTTAATATTCCAGTGTTATTTATTAAGATGTAAATATGTTTGTTAATGATAGTTTGTTCCTGAATATGTTAATGACATTTAAATGATTATCAGCAATTGTTAGTATTAAAGGAGAAGAAACGTATTCATAGTGTTATGAATTTATTCTTCTTTAAAACAATATTATAAACAATGAACCGTTTTAGTGTTCATTAAATTCAAAGTATAAACCAAATAACAAATTAAATGAAGAATATTTAAGTTGAGCATGTTTGAAAGAAGTTAATTCAAATAAAATCAAACATGATGAAGAAACTGAACTAATTACTTCACAATATGATGAAATAACAACCATTAATTGAATTATAATTAATGTATAATTAATGATAATTTAATAATAAAATAAATTAGAAAAAGAAAAAGAATCTTAAAAATAAATTTAAGTTCAAACTAAAAATAAAAAAGAACTAATAAATAATAAAATAATAAAGAAAGAATGAAAATAGGATATAATGAAATAATGATAATATCAAAGTATTTTGATGATATTAATGATTTTATTAATTTAGAAATGAGAGTTAAAAGATTTCAAGGAAATATGGAACGATTTCATTTTAATCCAATTCCATTAAATCAATATTCAAGAAAATTGTTTCCTAATATTGAAAC